TGCATTTTCTCCCCGTGTTGGTGTAGGTTTCCTCCGGGTTCTCCGGTTTCCCCAACAGTTTAAAGACGTGCGCTATGTGTGAATTGAATAAACTAAACTGGCCAGAGTGTATGAATGTGAATAAGTGTGTATGGGTGTTTGCCAGTATAGGGTTGCAGCTAGAAGAACATCCGCTGTGTAATACATATGCTAGATAATTTTTTGGTTCATTTCACCTGATAAATAAAGCGACTAAGCCAAAGGAAAATAAAGAAATACAGTTGTCATGCCAACTTGCTTCTGTAAACAGCCACTTTGAGTTCTTCTGATTGGTTTACTGTATTGGAACTGACATTGATGAGTGGCACCGCGAGTAAAAGTTATAAATATTTTATATTGACAAAGTGTCTAAAAAACGTGTTGCTTGTGCTTAAGGCGCTGCAAATTGTAAGGGAATAATGGTCACAGGTCTGTCAGTACATGTTTACATAAAAAAGAATGGAAATTTAAGACATTTTGCCATTTTGTGGACATATACTACCTTACAAAAGTCTTGTCATCGATCCCTGTTGTAAGACCAGCAAATAACAACTTGGCTTCTAGTTGATCATTTGGAAAAGTGGCAAAAGGTCGATTTTTCTGATGATCATCTGTTGAACTGCATCCCAATCATCACAAATACTGAGGAAGCCCTATTGGAACCTGCATGGACCCAAGATTCTCAAAATCATCATGACCATAGTTTGGTGTTACATTGAGTATAGGGTGTGCGAGAGATCTGCAGAGTGAATGGCAACATCAACAGCCTGAGGTATCAAGACATTCAGCAGGCTAGCGCTCCTTCAGTCTCCACATCAAAGTTCCTAAAGAAAAGGTCAAGGTGCTCCAGTATTGGCCAGCCCAGTCACCAGACATAAGCATTATCGAGCATGTTTGGGGTAAGATGAAGGAGGAGGCATTAAAGATAAATCCAAAGAATCTTGATGAACTCGGCGAGTCCTGCAAGATCACTTTCCACTTCTGATACCAAATCATCAACTAGAAGTCCAACGAATGTGACTGCACCCACAGTGGCATTGATTTGTGAAAGGAATAAACTCAAACAAATACTAATTTTAAATACATTTTGACCAATCATGTATTGAGTAAAAGTGCAGGTCAGATAAAGTCAAGATATCAGGCTTATCACAATTCTGTCAAAGTGTAACAGTTAGATTAAAGTGTGTACTGTGTGTTCCATAAATGTAAACAGTCTTGTGACAGCTACTATTTGTTTGTGTGGACATTCCACCAAAGCCAATGGGAGGTGAGCCTGCGACCTTTAGCCGAAAAGGGTTAACAGCTAAAGCTAATCTCTGCATTCACTAAGAAAAATGGAGGCTCGTTGGGAATTACAGCTCTTGTGCTGTTTTTGCTGAAGGTATTTCATCGACTTCATTGAAGTATAGTTAACTGCCAAGCAAAATAAACTTCTGACTGAGAGGCATCTGTTTGTATGAGTTGGCAGTGAAGGATGTTTACAAGAAGAACGCGGAAAAAGTGAAAAAGGCCAACTAATATTATTAGAAAGCACACTTGTTTCTGTAAAGTGTGTCATAGCGTAGTAAGGACTGGATTGTTTGTGCATTTATTAGTGTCCGGTGTGAATTCCTATGACACGGTAGAACTTCTTCATGATGTCATCAGAAATGTTTCTTCACAGTCACATTGTGATTCACACACAGTGTGTGTGCATTTCCAAGCTCAGAGGACTGCAGTAGGCGGTAGTGTTGCATCTGTTGCATAGCTTTAGCTTTTTATAGACGCTCTGTTTTTAAGTGTATACGCCAATGAATGATTGGACAAAATATGCAGGAATGACCGCAGATGACTAAACTTCTTCCTCTCTCTACAAATATATATATTTTAAAACAATGTCTTCCAAACATGCCTTTGAGTCACAATTGGTTGGGAAACAGCCAAAATGTCAACAGTCTGTTTCTGCACTGATAATGAGATCATTCCCTCGCTATCCTAGTCATTTTATTGATTTCTTGCCCATAATTTGAAGTCTGAATTGAGCAACGCTGAATTATATAACGCATGAATACAATGTGTCACTGTGGATTTTATCATATAAAAAATAAAACAACAGCTCACCATCTGCTGACACATTTCCATAGACGCACTGTGTAAAGCTAGTCACTCTAATTCTGCATAATATTTTTTTGCAGTCACACTCGTTATATGTAAATAATATAAACACATACTGCATAGATGTCATATTGCCAGTATAAATGGCATATTAATTCGGCCATTTACTCACCATCATTTGCAGTGCGGCTTTATTTTATCTGTGAAACATATAAAAGGAGATACTTTGAAGAAATATTTGAAATCAAACACAACTTTGAGGTCTTAACTCTCAAATTTAAATGTATTCAGATCAAAAACACGGACAAAAATCCACCAAAATCTGTTGTGGTTGGTTCAAATACTACATTTGTGTGCTGCTCATTGGAATTTGAGATAAAACAAACTGTAAACAACCTAAGCTGCTTAATTTACATACAAAATTGTGCAATTTGCCCTATAGACGTTGGACGTCCCTCCTGGAGAAAACAAAAACAAACAATAGAAACTATCATTGACGTTCTAATGGTTTCCAAACACAGAAAACTAGTACTTATTAAAAGCCAATAACTTTTAACCATTAAAACCAATGTGTTTTTAGACAATGAAGGCAATGAATGACCCATAGGAATTAACCATTAGAGTTTTCACCAGAACTAATTTCCTAGCAAGCAATTTTTAGTTTTAAAGGATGCCTAATAGATGTCTAAACATAGTCATCTTGGCTAAATCAAGGCTAAATTTGGGCTGTCAGTGAAAATTGTATAGACCTCAGGCCAAAACTAGACTAGTCGTCAAATAAACAGAAATTAATGACATATATAGTCTGTCTAATCTGTCTGTTTGACAACTAGTCTAGTTTTGGTCTATTAGATTGTCTCTGACAGCTTAAGTTTAGCCTTGTTTTAGCCAAGCTGTCTACATTCAGATGTCTATTAGAATTGTTTAAAATTGTTTGCTGGGTTAACTTATGTTATAATGATTTACATCATTACAAATTGGATTCTATTGCTGCTGCTGCTGCTGCTGTTTTTTGTCAGATTAATTTTAGTGGGTGTATTGTGTAAATTCCCCTTCAGGGTCACACAAGTGTCAGTAGATTTCCAAAAGGGAACATTCTCAAAATAGGCTACTGTTATGAAAAGGTTTTTCTAACATTTTGCTGTTTTTCCAGATACGTTAATAGATTTCTTCATGGGTATCTTTTGTTTAAAATCATAATCAAACCATTATTCATGAAACATTTTCAGGGTTAATACGGTCATGGAAAACCTGGAAATGTCATGGAATTTTGACATTGTATTTTCCAGGCATGGAAAAGTTTTGGAAAAACAGAAAAACCTAAAGTTTTGGAAAAGTCATGGAAAACAGATGTCTGTATACCAGAATATAGGTTAGTTGTCTTTACTTCTTTTCTGTCCTTGGCTAATCACATACTTTCACATTATTACTGCGGTGTAAGCATTGTCTAAATTTTACATGCAAATTTAAACTGAATATATTGTTGCGTGTTTTACGAGATGATGAAATAAATTTGAACATGCAGTGTTTTTCTGTTATCACGCATATGTAGACATTGCATGAAACTTGTCATAAAAATGGACTTAAGTGTCTTTAAAAAATCCTGGAAAAGTCATGGAATTTTAGTAGTTAAAATGTGTATGAACCCTGATTTTTGTGAACATTTAATTATTAAGACATTAGTATTTGTAGGGTTCAGATTTGGATTTTTTTTTAAATAATTCTATAAATATGCTAAAACTGATTAAAAATGTCTATTTAAAACAATTCATTTGAAATTAAATGTTTTTTTTCAATGTTTCAAGAATAACAAATCAGATTTCATGGCATATTCAAGGGCAAAACAATCTTAGGAGGACATATTTATATTTGGTAGATTGCAGATAATCACACTAACTATTGCAGATTGATTACAAATATTATTGTGAAGAATTTAAACTAGGCTATATCAGTGTAAATGTAGAGAATTCGTTTTTACAATATTAGACAGCTTTCTGTAATTATTGTCCTTTAAAAGAAAACTTCTACCAAAACTGCTAATTCTGTCATCCTTTACTTACCTTTGTTCACAATCAGTTTAAGTTTCTTTATTCTGTTAAACACAAAGTAAGATATTTTGAAGAAACAATTGAATTCTATAGCTATTTGTTTCAAATATGGAAGCCAAATGTTGCAGGTTTTCAGCTTTTTCAAAATACCTTCTCGTGTGACAGAATAAAGAAACTCCCGAAGGTTTGGAAACACTTGAGGGTGAGTAAATTGTAAGGCAGTTTTCATATTTGGGCAAACTATCCCTTTAAGAATATAGTTTTACTACAAACAAAAAAGGTTAATCGTTTAAACTTTGGCAATGATACAATAATAATGGTTTTGTTGCAAAAACCCTATTTTAATTGTGGTGTTTGTGATTGTTCATACAGATTAACTTTTGGGCTTTAAAGTAAAATTCAGTTGTTTTTAAATTTAACAATATTAGCCTATATGTACAGTTTTATGTCTTTAAATACTTTTCGCGGTCACCAAACCGACCGTGACCTCTTTTTTTTTCCGTATCAGAGCATTTTCAAAGCGTGACTTTTCTCTGAGTGGCGGTGAAGGACTGAAGTGTCATTGCCCCTTGTAAGGTCAGTGTATGGGAATTGTAGTAACCAGTTTAAGCGTGATATCTCTTACAACGTACATTTATGATGCGAGTATGCTACTGTCTTGTTACTCATACAAAATGAGTTTGGCAAAAGCTTACAAACACTAAACCGCGCGTCACAATAACGACACGTTTTGAAGTTTGGTCTAAATTTCAAAACAACAAAACGACATTTCCCACAATTCTCGGTGTGACGTATAGCGTTTGTTGACATTGCGTACGTGTGAATTGGATGCCTGTATATGGAGTGGTCATGGACAGAAATGACTTGATCCTAACGGTATTCCCGACAGTACGCTCAAGTTAAGCTTTTACACATGATTTTGATGGCCTAAAACGATACGGAAACGGACAGGGCTGCACTTGATTTCGCGCAAAGTTGAAAGTCAAGTCGACGCTGCTAGACACTTGCGTTATTATGATGCCACGAGACAACATGACTTCCACAGTCCAGAAAATCGCCAAACAGGCCCTCGCAACATTCCGAAACCCGTCTGTCATCGGCGAGCACAACAAAGTGTTTTTGGAGAACCAAAGCAAGCTGAAAAGCCTCTTGGCGGAGGTCAGAGCGGCGGACTTGAAGATCGCAGCCCGGACCCCCGAGAGCGCCCCGGTGCCGCATCAGCGCATCGCTCCTCCCGTCACATACATGCATATCTGCGAGACCGACTCCTTCAGCATGGGGGTGTTTCTGCTGAAAACGGGGGCTTCGATACCCCTGCACGACCATCCGGGGATGTACGGCATGCTGAAGGTGATCTACGGGAAGGTGCGGATCAGTTGTTTCGACCGCCTGGATAAACCGAGAGACGGCGCCAGCGGCGTGCAGTTCAACCCTCCGCTCATGCCCTTCCAGAGGGGCTCCTTACGGCCCTCAGTGCTGAAGTCCGTCGGGGAGTTCACAGAGGACAGCAGCCCGTGTGTGCTCTCACCCCAGCAGGACAATATCCACCAGATAGACGCTGTTGACGGACCCACCGCTTTCCTGGACATCTTAGCACCCCCGTACGACCCAGACGAAGGGAGAGACTGCCATTATTATAAAGTTTTGCAAGCTCATTCAGAGGCTGCAGATAAAAAGAGTGAAGTCCAGGATCAAGGGGACGTGTGGCTAATGGAAATACCCCAGCCTAGTGAATTTTGGTGTGGTGGTGAACCATACCCAGGGCCTAAAGTGACCCTCTGAGAGGGATGTATAACTGTATAAACTGGGATAATGATCACAGTCTGGAGTGATTCAGGAGTTTTTTTTCTTTTACCTGGGTACCTTAATGAGACAGTTCACCCAAAAGTGAAATCATTTTACTCATTCTTTACTTGTTTCAAAGCTTTTTTCTGTTCAACACAAAAGAAGATATATCAAAGAAACCTGTAACCATTTATGTACATAGTAGGACAAACAAACACAATTGAAGTCGATGGTTACAGGTTTCTAACATTCTTTGAAAAATATTTGTTTGTAAAAGATTTGGAAACACTTCAGTGTGAGTAAATGGTGAACTGTTTTCTTGGACAGAATATACAGTGGTTTATCTCTAGCCACTCATCACAGCTGCTGTCTTTAATTGTCTTTTGGCAGTTTATGTTTTTTTTTTGTATTTATGTCCATAAATGTCCTGTGTTTGCATGCAGACTGTTCTGATTTTACATAGAGGTTCAACAAAAGTCTCTGTTCTCCATTTGCCTGGATTCTCTTTGTACAGCGTGTGATTAATATTTAATTATTTGCAGCAGATGTGAGATTTGGTTTATCGGAGTGGGAATCTCGTCATCTTGTTTCCATTGTCATCATTGTGTTAATGCATTAAGCTGTGCAGGACCGAGAAATGCTTAGTAACAGGTTCAAAACACTCACTTGACAAGCTGGCCTACGTGACACTGGACACAAAACCTTTTTTTTGTCTTTTACACTCCTGATAATATTGATAATCAAGCACTTAGCCAGGATGCCAAATTTAAAATAGTTAAAATAATGAATGAAAATCAATCATGCACTATGAAGAATGTGTTCCCTCCTAAACATTTAAATTAATAAAAAAGGGGAAAATTTGCCGGTCTTTTGATGATTGAAATACTTTCTTGAATTCTTTAAAGACATGTTATTGACTATATACAGTTTCGATTAAGATTTTTCATGTTAGTAGATATCACCTGCTGACAGAAAGGCAAACAATTTTAAAAGCTATATTAATGTTTACTTTAAATACGTGTTAGGGTTTTTTTTTTTTGTTTAAATACAGTGCTCATCGAGTTCAACTCATTTTGAAAATGAATATTTTTATCCATTTATCATTGAATTTAGGCAATGTGTGTTGGTGCATTTAAACAAAACTGATTTATTAAACAGATATTTTTATTAAATAGTATTCTCGTCATCAAAAATATTTAGAAATTGAAAGATGATACAATTAAATTCAAGCAAAATTTTGCAAAAATAAAAACTACAACCTACAAAATTTCAACTAAATTTTAAAATATTTTTTGCTTCTTGATTTTTCCTCATTTTTAAATTTCTATTTAATATTTTCTATAACGTGGGTGTACAAGTTTTCGAACCATTATCATACGATATTTTGTAAGATAAGCTCCAGATTTGGCTTCAGTACTGACTAATCTATTCTATATGTACAAATATAATATTGTATAACTTCCTATTAAAAATGTGAATTTAAAAGATGAGGGGTGGATGTCTATATGCAGAGCACTGTATTTTAGTATTGTAAATTCATATAAAATAATATTAGTGATTTAGGGCGAAGCAGTGGCGCAGTAGGTTGTGCTGTCGCCTCACAGCAAGAGGGTTGCTGGTTATCGTTTCTGTGTGGAGTTTGCATGTTCTCCCTGCGTTCGCGTGGGTTTCTTCCGGGTACTCCCGTTTCCCCCACAGTCCAAAGACATACGGTACAAGTGAATTGGGTTGGCTAAATTGTCCGTAGTGTATGAGTGTGTGTGAATGAGTGTGTGAATGTTTACCAGAGATGGGTTGCAGCTGGAAGGGCATTCGGTGCGTAAAAACTTGCTGGATAAGTTGTCGGTTCATTCCGCTGTGGCGACCTCGAATTAATAAAGGGACTAAGCCAACTAGAGAATAAATGAATGAATAATAGTGATTTAATAGATTTTTAAATTTGATTGATTCCTGTCATGACGATGCTGAATTTTCAGCATCATTACTCATCGTTACATAATCAGAAAACATTATTATTGGCTGATTTAGAGTTGTTCAGAACAGTTGTTCTCCCCCTAATATTTTGTATCTTTTTGGATGAATTGTTACAACTGCATTTACTTAAAATAGGAGTCTTTTGAGACATTGTTAGTGTTTCTAACTAACAGTTATGTTGTATCAATTTGCTGCAACCCTGATTTGCGAAGACTTCCAGCTTGGGTGGTTGTGTATATTTTAAAAGGGGTTTTCACCAAAAAAAAAAAAAAGTTTTGTCATTATTTACTTATTTTTTACTTTTTCCAAAACATTAGATTTTTTTTTTTTGTTCTGTTAAACAGAAGATATTTTGAAAAAATGTTCAAAATCTTAATTTCAGTAGCATTTGTTTTGCCTACTATAGATCTCGTTGGCCACGGGTTTCCATTATTCTTCAGAATGTCTTAAAAATGGTTTGGGACAAAAGTCAAAAGTGAGTAAATGATTACAGAATTTTCCTTTTTGGGTGTTTAACCCGCGGGCCTCACTTTATCAGCAATAACTCAAATGTTTGCCAAGTTGTGACCTCTAGTGGTGCAATTTTGCACTGCCACACAGATATGAAATCCATTTCGCAGAAAAGGTGGTTCTCAAAAATACACCTTGTGTTTATTATCATTTTATTAAGACACGTAACAATAATAGTCAACAAAAAGACTCACTGTAAACACTATTTCTCAGAACAACTGCATTATGCACCACATGAAATATTCTGTGATAACGACTAGCTTCTACAACAAACCACATTCAACATTAAGATTCATAAGCTGCCTTCGTATTTTTTTGTGTGCACACAAACAAGGTCCAGGTTGACGAACCCAGGGGTCACATCATGTATGTGCTATCTAATCAGTTTCCCCCAGCGCTGGAGCTGTGAGGGCCCACAGAAAGCTTTCTGTCCTTATGTCTCTGGTGGATTTTTGTGTGCCTCCTTCGCTCGTCGCTTCGGGCGAACTTTCTGCCGCAGAAGTCACAGGAGAAGGGCTTCTCGCCCGTGTGTGTGCGGATGTGGGTCGTGAGGTGGTCGCTCCGGCTGAAGCTGCGCATGCAGATGCGGCACTGAAACGGCTTGTGTCCGGTGTGGATGCGGACGTGACGCGTGAGCTCATCCGAGCGCGAAAACCTCCGGTCGCATCCCTCGGCCGGACACGGATACGGGCGCTCGTGCACCGGCGTCTTGCACGGTCGGTTCGGGTATTTCCGTGGCCGCAGTATTGGCCTGAGTGGGACATTCTGCGGGTTGGTGCCGTCTAACGGCGGCCTTGAGCCGTCCACCGGACACGCCAGAGTAAAATTCCTTATAGTGTTCAAGGGAGTCAGAGGTGGTGGGACTCTAATAGACTCCAAAGAGCACGAAAACGGCTTGATATCCTGAAAAACTGCCATGTTGTCCCTTTGGCAGCTGCTGTTCTGATAAAAGCCCCCATAATCGGGAATGATGGAGAAAAGCGCCCCGTCTATGGTTGATTTTGGGGCCGAGTATGACGGAGGTGCGTATGTTATTGGGCATGTAGTGGTCGACAGGTAGACCGAAGGGTCCTGATAGCCCTCGGCGCTACAGGTGTAAGGGGGTGGCCCTGTGTACATGTGCTCCATGTTGGGAAGATTTTGGACTATTTTGGAGCAGTCTGAAGGTGGACCTGCGGGCGAGCCCGTGGAGAACGATCCTGGTGATGTGGACCGGTCCTGCACTCCTGCACTGATGAAGTTGATTATTCCCTCTTGACTCCAACTTCCCTGCGCGTCGATGGAAATTTTCCCCGTGTAGGCGACAGGCGCGCTGTGCGGAGAAAACTTGCCCGGGTCAGGCAGATCAAGGTCCCGCTTTTCCACGCCGAAGCTGTCGCTGCTCAGGCCACCTGTATGAGCAAAAAGCAACAGGCTTATAGAGAAACTCAGTAATATGTTTTGGTGTAAACGTCTAAAAGAGCAGACTGCGTTTCCACCACGTGATAGCAGCTCTATTCAGTAAGCTATTTGATTTCAAAAGATTGTTGGTGTGTTGGAGGGTAAATATATGCGGGTGTCTCAATATTCTGGTTTAAAATCACAGCAAAATATTTTGTGATACTACGAATTTCCTTGCTGTTAAAATAAGATTGAAAAATACATGGACGATTTAAGGCTAGAAGTCACATTTTTACTCTGTTTATTAATTACGTATTTAAAAAACCTAATAACTCGTATTTTATTTGGATCTGTATTTCCAAAAGAACCTCTATAAGAAATATTACCAGGTTATACAAAAGTTATGGAAAGGAATTAGGCTATTGTTTGGACAATTTCGTCACAGCAGAAAAAAAAAAACTTCAATAAAGGATTCTTGGTTTTTTCTTCACAAAATAGGTTTGCAAAATTCACTTTTGACAGCAAAAAAGTGGGAATATTATAGATTATTTTGCTAATATTCATATAAATTAGACTTTATAATGACTTTTCCAGTAAATATGTTCCAGTCGGGGTTTTTAGCGATGCCAGATCTATTTTTGGTTCTTAACAGAACTTTTCAATCTGTCGTTAAATTTATTTTTCTTAGTGTCACACGAACTTTTGTTGACCTCATCAATAAATGTTTTCAACCACACATAAACGTTTGGATTCTGTGAATGTTTAAACCACCCGTTCCAATAAGGAATATTTTAAGAGTGTTTGGGCAAAACAAACGTGACAAATGCAATTTAACCTTATTGAGGCTCCTTTCGCTAGTTTGTTTTCACAACAGCTATTCCAAAAAAAACGACCATGAGAGAAAAATATTTATAAAAATTATTACAATATTTTTATATAGCCTATAAAGTTAGCCCATTTTAAGTCTAAAAAAGGAACCAGCTTTAAAAACACTGCTAAATCAAAACATCAATTATCATATAAACCCAGGTTAGTGCGCAGGGGTCTGAAGCATCCTCCTCTCTTACCTGCGGACGCCTCGCTGTAGTGGTCCGAACAGACTCCCGCATCCACATGAGGGAAGCCGGTGGGCGCGCACGGGGGAATCTCATCCAGACCATAGACGTGAGATGGCAAACAGCGCATGAAATCCGTTAACGACGCGCTCATTTTATCCCCGGTACTTGCTGTCGCTGTCATTTTGATCCTCGATATTGTTAATATACGATCTTGAATTGTTATTAAGTTGCTCTGAGGGCTTGTGTTGTAAATGTTGATGCTGTTATCAATGCTGTTTTGACTTCGGTGTTATCATCATAAACGCGCGCATCGGTGTCAGAGCTCATCAGCTCCCTTCATACGTGCCGCAGCAATAAGTGAAACTTTTATGTCGTAGTATGCATTTTAAGAAGAGCCTGTCAATGCCCCGTGACGTCACTGACCATACAAGGACAGAACATGACAGAAAAAAACGGGTTGGGCTTTTCTTTTTGCTTTTGGCCATGTGACGACACGACCTCACTTTTCGGACAAATCTTTGAGTCCGGCACGTTTATTTTCTTAAAATAGATCGATATGTTGTGCACAAATACATGCTTTATCTAAATTGACGTGTGGACTGTGCTAAGAAGTAGGTGTTTTTTTTATATCTGTGAACTTTTGGTGTGTGTTATCAGGAATTCCGGTTACGGTGCATCCCATAAATGGATATTATCCGGTGATCTCCATCACGCCCTTTTTGACTTATATGGAACGCATCCGGGAAACTCGACACGGAAAATAACGAGCCACGCCGATCTCACGTCCCACAGATGAACCGCAATAAAACTCAATGCAGGAAAGTGATATTTGAATATGTTGGAAAGTTATAGTCTAGTCTCTAGAGGGTTGAGGAAACATATTTATTAATACACACGCGCCTTTTCCTCTGTAACTAGACAAGATCAGTGTGACCACACATATTTATTATTAGACGGACTTTATGTGTTTACGTTGCAACCCATTTTAGTACCTCTATTTTAGTAATGTACAGGATTTTAATTCACTTCAAACTATTCATCTACTGATAATTCTCTAGAACATAGGATGAAAACTGTATCGGAGAGGTCATGTAATTAGATAATTTAGCGACTTAATCACTGCAGAGAATAAAAAACCTTAACACATAAAAGTATTTCATTATGGTCAGCACTGTTTCCTCACAACAAGAAGGTCACTGGTTCGAGTCTCGCCTGGGTCAGTTGGCATTTCTGTGTGGACTTTGCATGTTCTTGTGTTCACGTGGGTAGGCCTATATGCGAAATAGATTAATTGAATAAAGTAAATTGACTGTTGGTTATGTGTGTGTGTGTGTGTGTGTGTGTGTGTGTGTGTGTGTGTGTGTGTGTGTGTGTGTGTGTGTATGTGTGTGTGTTTGGTTTGTTCGTTTGTTTGTTTGTGTGTGTGTGAATGTAAGAGGTGTTTCCTAGTACTGGGTTGCGGCTGGTAGAGCATCCACTGTGTAAAATATGCTGGATAAGTTGGCGGTTCATTCCACTGTGGTGACACAGTGAACAAGGGACTAAACTGAAGGAAAGTGAATGAATAAATGTAGGCTTGGAGCATTATTTAATTTTCAATTTTCAATTTTCTAATAAATAATCAGCATCAAAATGCTATAATTTTTGTGTGTAATGTTGTGTTTATTTATATATTTATTTATTTGACCTCTATAATTTTCTTTCTTGCACAAAATGCAATTTTATGAATTAATTTATTTTTATTTAATAAAGCCTCAGGAGCACCAATATTTATTTAATAAAGCCTCAGGAGGCAAAATATTTCATTTATTTATTTGTTTGTTTGTTCTTTCGTTTTTCTGTTTGTTTGTTGGACTGAAAATCTTTGGAGCAAAAAAATAAGTTTATTTATTTTAAAGTAATTGTATCAGGATTATATATAATAATTTATTATAAATATTTTGTGTCAAATAATTATTTATTTGAGGAAAAGAAGAAATGCATTTGCATTTTGCATTTTTGATCAACCTCAGGAAGTTTTTATGCTAAAAGGAACTTTATTAATTTATTTGTTCATTCGTTCATTTGTTCGCTTGTTTGTTCACTTGTTCCCTCATTCATTCATTCATTCATTCTTTATATTGAGTGAAATTTTTAGCCTTAGTGGCTTTTTGTTGCATTATTGCTTTTATTTTTTTTATTTTCATTCATTCATTTTCTTTTCGCCTTAGTCCCTTTATTCATTAGGATCACGACTGCCACAGTAGAATGAACTCCCAACTTAGCATATGTTTTACGCAGCGGGTGCCCTTCCAGCTGCAACCAATTACTAGGAAATAATTCACATCTAAAAAATTCAAAATAGTTTTAGAAGTGAATTATTTGTTTTATTAATGTAAAAAAATATTAAATGTATCATGTCTCTAAATGAAGGCACTATTAATCTCCAAATTAATATTGATTTGACAAAAGCATAAACCAAATAAAAATAAAGGTTCTGTATAGTTTTTTTTTTTTTTTTTTTTGCACTGAATCCACAGATTTGGTTTCCCCAAAGAATATTAAACAATCAGGTCAAGCTAAAGCACTAAAGCGCCTGTCACCATACACTCAAACATATAACTCATGGGATGAACTCAATTTAATTGAGGGCAGGATTTCCATCCAATAAATTGGTTTAGCACCAGCTAAAAAAAAAATAAAAATCACAATTAAATGCAATTGATTTGGCCCAACATGATTTTATCATATAAAAGTTTAAATAGACGTGTGTTTTTATTAAACTTATATATATTTTCTTGTCTGTGTCGTACAATTTGTGTGACTTACGAGGTCTTTTGGTTTTATTCAAAATTATCCTAAATTAACTAAAAGAGACATTTTGAAGCATATTTAATGAGTTACATATACAGTTGATCCCAGAACTAATTTTAGGCCAGTTACTGCTCACTGAACAAAGCAACAAACTGCAGTTTTGCTAATTAAGCTGCCAGAAGCATGGGTGCTTCTGCAAGGTGGTAATCTCAAAAGTCAAAACTCAAAGTATTACATGAAAATTTTCCAAATATTCAAATTAAAGTGTAGATTTAACTCTAACAAGCCTTTCTATGAACTCTAAACACCTAAGATTACTTTCATAGTGAACATTTCCCTCTCTTAATTCAATTCCATACAAACCATGCTGGACAAATCCATTTGCCAGGCAGTTGGACCAATACAAAATGCTTAAAGAGGTGGTACAGAGTGTATTTGTAAGGCTTGGTTGTGTTTATGGGGTGCAAAGCAATATGTGATCATGCTTCACTTGTAGAAAATCACATTATTTTTTCAAATGTCTTACTTTGATTATTTACAGCTACTCAGCTAACATGAAAAGGACTGTCATTTTTCCTAGTTCCTCTGAATACCAGCCCTCAAGAGGCTCTGATTGGTCAGCTAACATAATGTTCCGTGATTCGCAGATCAGATCCACATCCAAGAAGCATCTCTGTTATAACCCTACAGCACCTCTGGCTACACCCCTTTATCACACAGGGTGTATATGTGTAACCAACGCAATCTCACGGCAATTCGTAACTTTTTGATTTAGTGGCTAATTCATATGAATTCGTACGATCTAATTCGTACAATTTAGTACGATTTGCTCATCACTTAATGACGGTTGGGGTAAGGGGTGGGGTTGGGTGCCACGCCTCCTTTTCAAAAACCTACATTTTCGTACGACTGAACTCGTATGAATATGTACGATTTAGCCACTGAACTGACAAAACGTAAAATACTTACGTTTCCTTGTGAGATTCAGCTGGTGAAACCTGATGGGTTTATGACATCATTGACCTGGAGGGTTTTTTTTAGTCCCCAAAGTTCATTCGGTGTAGGCTTTGCTAAGCTAACTCTGTAAAACCCAATGTCTCTCTTTGCATTGAACTTTGAGCATCCTACATTCAAAGATTTTGTTTATGTTAACAAAGCTTTATTACACATCAATTAAAGCTTAAAATATGATATTGTAATGGACCACCCCTTTAAGTTAACTTAATGGTTTACAAATTTAAGTGCACTGAACATAAAACAAATAAATTGGCCAAAGAAATTACAAGAGTTGTGCTGTTTCAGCTCATTTTAAATATTAGTTTGAACAAGCAGCAGCAATCATTTGTTTGAGTGTAAGAAAGTGTGGGGGCGCTATATAGGATTGCATGGAATAGACGTGTTTTGCTGAGCTCCTCCACACCAACTTTACAAATTAAAGGACAGGTTAAGTGTATCTTCTCCTTTCACATGAACAGTCTTAATCTGTCATGTTGTCTGTTAGTCTGCTTGACACATGTATTCGGCCGTCCTCGTCTCTTCCTCATCTCTCTCGTCACTTTTTGTTGTTCTGCCAGCCTGTTCTATTTTGATCGGTGGCAGCGTGAGCAACCGAGCATTTGCCGAGGCCCAATTCAGCCTCCCACACGACGGAACAGCCCCTTCTCACCGAGTCCTCTAGCCAAAGTGAAGCGCCTGTGAATAGATGTGCATCTGCTTCTGCACACACTCCTCCAGCCTCCATTCACACTCGCCCACAGGCTTCTGTGC